GTGTGTCAAACATTTATCAAAATATTTATTTTGATATTCTAAAATATTTTTGGTAAGCAAAAATATTTTATTCAAATATTTTTCGTGTACATGGTTTGACACACAAAATAATTTTTGGACTCACTTTTACTCCCTTATTCAAATTCATTGAATAAGAGGAGGAGCGTTCTCTGATTCCCGTTGTCTCAAACAACGAGTGTTACGCCAATTCTGCTCTCCATCGCAACTGGCTTGGCCCCTTTGTGTTTTGCGCATTATTTCTTTTTGTAATCGATTACATTTCTCTGTTTAATCGATTAACCTTCGTTCGCATTCCATTAATCGATTATTCCTCTTGTTTTAATCGATTAGTCCTCTCAGAGCCTTCTAATCGATTAATCCCTTTGCATTAATCGATTATTTCCGCGTTAAAGGAACTCTGCGCAGACTGCATTAATCGATTATTATGCTGCATTTTTCATCACAACTTCTTTTCTTGGACCAACGGATATATATTCCTTCAACCCCTTTATAAACCCCACTCCTTGGTCATTTTTACCATGAACAAGCACTCCTAAAATCCCCCAATCTTGAGGTTATAATCCTCCATTCATTTCTTCCTCAAATTGATATATTTTGAGAGAAAACTAAGTGTTTTCAAGAGAGTGTTCTTGTCATCCATAGAGCTTAATCTTTTCTCATTTCTACTCTTGTGAGAGTTATTGCTGAGAGGTTGAAGAAGATTGTTCCTCTTGTTGTTCAAGGCTTATGTGATTTAAGTCTTGGTTGTGAAGTCTTGTAGAGGGCATATCTACGAGCGGTTGTGTCGAGGCTTGTGGGATTCAAGTTCTCGAGTTGTAAACGATTTATTAAGCACCCGTAAGCTTAACGAAAGTAGTGGTAGCTTCGAGAGAGTCTCTCGAGGAACTGGACTAGCCACGAGGTGGTGAACCAGTATACATCGGTGTGTTCTTTGCCTTCTCCCTTTTATTTCCGCTGCACTTACGTTTATATTATTAATCCTGCGAAAATCGGTAAACATTCTCAACAACTCTATTCACCCCCCTCTAGAGTTGTACGCCTTGTCTAACAAAGGAGAGTGGAATAAACAAGACATTACTATCACATGTGCTAGCACATTCCCCGTTGATGAGGTAAATAAGATGATAAAAAAAAGTTGAAGTATTTGCTCAAGAAGACAAAGAGAAGAGAGTATCTTGAAGTATTTGTAGATCTCATACTATATCGTTGTTACCACCTACATGTGAATCTATTTACTGCTTACTTTTGATTTCCTTACATCACAGGTGCGAGGGTTTTAAAAATATGCTGGGTTTGGCTGTAACCCAAATTATGTAAACTATGAACGCTAACAGTTATGACCTTACCTTCTTGATTAACTTGATTATGAGGGACCAAGAAATAAGTTCGAGGCATCTTTGTTCGATTTTGATGTGGATACTCATACTAAATTGCAGATTCACATAGATAAAGCCAGGATCATACACATGCAGTAGTTAAGAATGCAAAACAGAGGCAATTGGACAATGGGAAAAGGGATTGACAGACTTCTGATTTAAGAAATGAAAGGGAAACTACAGACCAAGATCAAACTAGCCAGGTAATCATAGATCAAAACCTAAAAAACTATGCCTTTAAGTTTAGTTATTATTTGCTGAAGCTCTATGGTAGCATATAAAGAATTTAGAGCAAAAAAATGTTTGAGATCTTTAGACTCTCATCCTTGAACTCCATCTACGGGGCAAGCATCCACACTAAATAGGAAGGTTTTTTTTGTTTTTTTGGCTTAAGATATGCGTAGTAGTATTGAATATTTACAGATCCTTTTTGGCTACTTCGTACTCTGTATTATATTTTACTCTAGATGAAACTTAGCTTGATTGTTGCTATCATAGCCATTTAATTAGGTTCTGGTCTTACCTACAAAGTACTATGGGTTGGGTGGAAGTGGCTAGCCTTGATGCATTTTAGAATTCAGATGCTTAAATTATCAGTTTAGAGGGATCAACTTCGAACCTACCTATTAAGGCTCATTAGCTGCCTACATTTATAAAAAACCACTGAATCTATACTATATACAAAGTAGGTCTATTTGTCCACACAAAAAATTCTTTGGTTTCTTTATTCAATATATATCTGATTTTTTGGATTTATGTGTTGTTAAATGAGCACTTTATTAAAAACTAGCAGAATGTTGACCATCAACCATTTGGTTCAATTTTGAACTCTCTTGGTATTTGTCTTTTTTATTTAAGAAGTGACATCCATGTATTAAATTTGTAGGTTGAAGTTTAAAAGATTCTTTTCAATTTTGAGATGTCTTTTATCGTCTTTGGGATTTCTCTTATGGGAGAGATACTGTATATTAAATGCCTTATTTTTATTTTTTTCTTAATGCAGGCTCTGTGTTTCATCAACGAGAATGTGCTGTTTTGGTATATTATATTTCTTTCTTTGATGTTTTAAGTAACTGGAAGGCTTCCATGTATGATTTTATATTGAAGAATGAAGAGATATATTATAAAGAGTACTCTATTATAAACTATAATTGAAAGAATATTGATGCAATACTTTATACTTTGGCACATGTGATATACTACCTCCGTCCCATTTTAAATTGCTTGTTTACCTTTTTTCTCCGTCCCAAAATAAGTTGCATGTTAGTTGTTTTCGTAAATTTTTAAAAATAAAATATCTAAACTACCTCTAAAATAAGTCACTCTTCCCCACATTATATTCTCATTCATCATCATACCTCCTAAAAAGTATTGACAATTTCGAAAAATCAACTCTATTTTTAATTTTCCTTAAATATGCCCAAAAGTCAAAACGGACGATTTAAAACGGGATGGAGGGAGTAAGTGACAAGAAAGGTGATTTAGTTTCTTAATGATCCAGTTCAATTGATTTATTTTAAAATTGTGTGTAAGTGAAATAAGTATTGTTGGTCGTTTTGTTTGCATTATTATACCAAAATAATATTTTCCCAGTTAGATATTAGAACATTTCGGAATGATTTTTGTTTCACTTAACTTTTTCTTGACAGTGGCGCATCTTGATGCAAATGCAATAGTAGGGAAGAAATTAAAGACTTATTTAAATATTAAAAGTTTTGTATGCTTTACATAAAGTATACCTCAACTAACTCTTCGATTAACCACTCAGTTAAATGCATAACACTCAAAATCAAAATTCTATATGACAAACACGTGCATACCTCCCCAGCCCGTTCAAAGCACGAGGTAAAAAACTAGTATATATGTAAAATAAAGTTAATCTCTTGGAGTGTTGACATGTGGCATGCCACATGTGCATCCACATGTCATTCATTAATGATATAGATAAATTTTATTAGTCTATTTAATTATTTAAAAAAATATTTTAACACATTTTATTATATTACATTCAATAAATATTATATTTTAGTATTAAAAAACATTACTATAATTATACTTTGTATAAAAATGTCATTTTAACAATTTTGTAAACATATATATCATCATTGTAAAATATACTCCGTATTATATTATATTATACACACACACAGATATATATACATACATACATACATATACATACATACATATATATTGCCACATATACATTTTCTAATGATGTATCATTATTTAATTAGTCCATTTTTTATTATAATGTTTTATTAATTAAAACCATTTCCATTAGTACTTCATTCAATAATGGCCATTAGTTTTGTATAAAATTTTTGTTTTTAAATAAACATACCAATATACATTCCACCGGTTTAAAATATATTTTATTTACATAATTAAATTATATCTATAAAAAAATTTTTAACTTTAACAATGTTAGCCTTGGTTTGCTAAGCCTCATGTTTTGATGTGAACAAACAATATAAGAGCTTAACGTTTGTTTAAGTGTTTCAGGTAAAACAAGAATTCATTAAGATTCGGTACTCAAGAACGAAGTCGAAACACTAAACTAGCGTAGAATATAGGTAGAAACCAATGTAAGGATATGACTTTATGTACCTATATTCACAAGCTCAAAAGCACTCACAAAATATGTTTAAAACCATCACATAAACATTTTCAAATATCTAAAAGGTTTTAAACTCAAACACGAAGGATTAAGGGAATTTTGAAAAAATCAGGACAGTGGCACGGTACCACTACTACAGAATATACATTACATAGCGCACTTTACACAGCGAATAACTTAAAAGGGCTGTGTAAATTTTAAGACCTATTACTAGCGCTATTTGGAGGTTATTAACGTGTATCCCTTTTTTTTTTACGCTTACACAGCGGTGGCGCTGTGAAACCTCACTTGCGCAAATTAAAAGAACTCCAGCGCAGGTTGATTCCCTCTCCCAACCAACTCCAGATTCCAAACTCTCTCGATCGCCAAACCAGCACCGGTTGGTTTCCTCTATCGATCGAAACGTGCAAATTGATTGATTTCTGTAGTCTCAAATTGATAGCCGGCCTCTATTTCTTGATTTCTCGCATAATCAATTGACTACTTGCAAGAATCAATCGCGGATCCATACAGGTTTCATTTATTTTCGAAATCTTTTAATTTTTCTGCAAATTAGTGTTTTTAAGGCTTTAATTTAGAAATTGATTGTATACCATCTTTTTTCCCAACACTCTGCAAGGTAAAAAGAAGAGCTATTGATTTACACTGGTTTTTGAATCCTATTGTATTGATGAATTTTAAAGTATTTAACTGGTTTAGACTCGTTTTTGTATCCTTTATTTTGAATAAAGAAGAGCTATTGTATTGAATCCTAAAGTAAATTGGTTCTTTTAGATTGGTTTTATTTCTTCTTCTGTTAAAAAATGAGAGCTATGGATAAATTTAAATTTTGCAACTGTATTATTTCTCAACCACATACACTGCCATAGAATAGCTAAAGAACTGGTTTTTAAAGCACTGTTGAATCCAAAATTGTAGTATACTGCCAAAATACACTGCCAAAATAACTATTGACTTCAAAATTATAGTATACTGGTTACTGGTTATATAGACCACTTATATTAGTTTGATATAATGTTAACTGTAATTGAGAATTAAAATAACTCAAGTAAACTAGTTGGGCAATTCCTAAATAGACATCACCCTTCTCAGTAAACTAGGAAGACAATATCTGAATAAATTTTCAAGTTGGCTTGTCAGTTGTCCTCCATTATTGGCAACAAATAAGCTCTTTTGTAGTACTCCAAATGCATTATTTTTCCATAATACGTAGTTCTCCGAGCCACAACATCGTTAATCACACTTTCACTCTGTTAATGTTCATCACGTGTCAATGTACAGTGTCTCTTAGAACAATATAAATGGAAAGGAAAAGAAGACGAAAACTGAATTTTGCAGCTATCAATTTTTGCAGCTCTGTGCTAACTTTTTTTACTTAACTTATGTGCAGGTAGTATAAAATGGACTCCCAACAAGATACCCATTCGAGCCGTCAGAATTCTCTTACAAGTGAACAAGAAGGCAAGAAGAGCTATAAGACAAGGGGTCCTACTTATATGATCTCATTTCAACGGAAGATTGACAGTGGTAATAAACCACCTCCTCTAATACACTTTGATAGATATGGACGACCAACAGGAACCGATGAAGACGTGGATTCTTTTAAGAGTTTTCTGGGCATGCTGGCTAAGACTAGAGTGGAAATCACTTTAGAAAGTTGGAAAGAATATCCAGAACCAAGAAGAGAGCTGATGTGGCATCATATTTTGGTATTATTTCACTTTTTGTATGCCTATACTATGTTTATTAAAGTAAAAAGTAATAGACATATATTTTTTGTTGTATGTTTTAGAAAGAGTTTAATGTTGAGAATCCAAGCAAAGTTGCAAGGGAAACGACTACGTGATATATCAGACAAGGCTCGAAATTTTAGAGCAGAGCTTGTTAGGCAATACCTGAATCCAAAAAGTAAAAAATATGGGAAGTTTCCATGTGATGATTATAAAGAGAGAACAAAGCTTGAATGTGATAAGTATGAGCCATCTACATGGGATGAGTTGATGAAAACCACCTATCACATTATATCTGAGACCCAAACCCACAGAGAAGCAGTTGTTCACATCACCAACGATATGATGCAAGAAGAGTTCTCCTTTTCTATCTCGATAGATGTGTTAAAAGATTTCATGAAAATGAAATATGTTGATGTTTCTAATCTTCAATACTGGATTTGGTATTCCAAAATCAATCATTTCCATTAAATATTTCATTTTTTTAAATCAGAAGTGCGCTATACAACAAGTTTAATTTAAATTTCTCCAATTCATTTTTTTGCAGGGTTCTTTGTGATCGATTTGAGCTACAGGGAAAAAATGCATACCGATTTCTAGATCCGAGCAAGATTTCATGAAATGAGCAAATTAGTACTGGCTGGATCGAATTCAACAATAATCGCATACGTTATGTTGAAAATGCTCTGAAGGATGACTCTATGGACTGCTGGTTGGTGCCCTATAATGACGGGTAATAATTTCAAAATTTATTGACTAGTTATTTTTTACAATTTACATTTATTGCATTGCTACTTACAAAATGAATTTCGTTGGTAGGTTTCATTGGATGTTATGTGCAATTCTTCCAAAAGAATCAATAATATTTTGGTTAGATTCTCTTCGAGATTCTGGACGTCGCCCTAGTCCCATCAGACATATAATAAACACGTAAGCTAAATACTAAGTTATATAACTTTCTATCAAAATTATTTGAAAGTAATCAAAAAAAGTCTATGTAAAAGGGCATTCTTCAACTTGAAGTATCAAGGCAAAGCACATTACATAAAACCCGGGAAGTTTGGGCCAAAATGGATCGATGTAAAAGTAAGTACGCTTTTCCCTCTTTTAAATTATAAGGGAATATAAAATTTACATATATCAGATTGAATTTTGTTCTCATGTACGTAGTGTCCTATACAAGATGGAGAATTCGAAGGTGGTTACTTTGTGACAAAGATGATGTATGATATCATGGTTCGACTAGCATTATAAGGCATTGATGAAGTAAAGTGATTATGACATCTAGTGGTTTTCATTTTCTGCATATCATAAATTATAATCATCTATCACATTAAATTATTATTCAAACTTATGTTGTACAGATTTACAGTAATGGGGCTTCACCTTTTCTAAAGAAAGAAATCAATGAAATGAGATCATTGTTTTGTGCTCATTTCAATTCAAAGTATGATCAGCTAACTACCTATGGTCAAAAATGATGTCATTGAGCTCATTCCAGGTATATATGCTTGTAAATCA